AGAGATACTTTGATTGGCTAAAATAATGAACTAAAAATATGAGGGGAAAGGAAAGGGAATAAGTGTGACCTCCGTCTAGCACGTGTCTCTAGACGGGAGTCCTATTTGTATTTGCAAGGTATTGCAAGATCGTCGCGAGCTATGATCGTAGCCTAGCGGGATTCTAGGTCTATCATCTTTGACTCAATGAGGTGAGCTATCCATTTAGGTAGCTACAAGTCATGGTTAAAGTGCTACGATCTCGAGAACCTTTCACTGAAGTTTCAGCGCGGTCTCGATGCAGCCGTTATCAAGATGATCCCACTGAGTGATGACTATTCCAAGGTATAGTATTTCTACTTCTAGGTTTGAACTTTGTCGGATTTGTCAGAGAGTTTGTGATGGTCTCGAATTCAGATAGTTCTCTTGCAAGAAGATCGTTTTCTTGAAATGCATGCAGCGTTTCGGAAGATATTTTCGTATGCGCATGCCACGATTTGGCAGGGATATGGCGTTTTCGATCGAGCGAAGTGATCTTTTCCTTGTTGGTGCGAGGTATTGTCCTATTTTTTACACGTGTTTTATCTTTCTGAAAGCATTCCTAAATTTGGATTTGAAGTTCTGAGGTCTACCGATTGAATTTGGAGTTAGGAGAATGGCTCTCTCCTCTTCAGACTAATGGATCGGCTTTGAACTGCTGTCAGTTTGCAGACGCACATCAGTTATTCGTGTGCGGTAAGCTGCATTTTTGGTTCAATTGAGTTCACCTTCAAAGATCCATTCTTTTTACAGGTACTTCTGATGGTCAGGTGGAGGCATGGGATCATCGCGACAAGTCAAGAGTGGGAATCCTTGATTGTCTACCGTATTTGCAGGACGAAATAAGGTCTGTTTTAAGAGTACAGGAGAAGGGTCCAAAAAGTCACTTTGCCCATGACATAGACCAGCACTTATACGTTATTTGTCAATACGTTGTATAATACAAGCGTTAAAAACACCAGAGTAAACTAAAGCATTACTAACCGAAACCATGCAGTCAGTTGAATTAGAAATAAAAAAGTATTGCCAACTATGCCTTTTCTGATTGTTTTGAGCGTCTGAAGACGCCCGAGAGCCTGAGAAGCAGTTGGATTTACTGAAACGTAAATATGCAAGACCTGCCCTAACCGTGAAAAAGGTGCGCCTAGTGGTGGTTTTAGGTCTGGGAAATGACAATTTGAGGTGACCACCCCTAGTGTTAGATGGAATAAGGCTGTAAAATTGTAGAAATTTTAACCGCGGATCTGTCGCTGAGAAGATTGTGAACCATGCATAAATCGAAGAACAAACGTCTAGACTGAAGGAGAAGGGAAGATCATAAAATTTGTTCCGTATTTCAGCCTTCGGTATTCTTGAATACAGGAAGCCACCGCGACGAACCAGCATTTTTCTAGTGTAATTATTTTGAACCTTCTCAATCAGTGCAATGTCTTTCTTTTTATGCGGCGAGAAAACCACAGTCCCATTCTCTACAAGTGGGCGAACATAAGTTTTGTATACTGGAATGAGAGTTTCTACTGTCCTTGGTTGTCAAGAGCTTTGAAAATTTGATAGGTGCGGTGGCACGCTTTCTTGTAGATTAGCTTGCAATGTGGAGAAAAGTCGAGCTTATTATTGTAACGGAACCCTAAGACCTTAACCTCATTACTCCTTCTATATCTGCTTCCTATTTATGAAGTATATGAATGGGATTTGTCGAAAGCGGTTGAAAGGCAAGACTGAGGGTGTTTGATGGATTGGCAGATGAATACAGGAATGAATAGTTTGGGTCATAGCGGGAATCTTCGAGCTGCGGGACGTCTGACTTCATTCAGAACGTGGTGAGGGTGTCAGGAAGTCACTCGCGCGGCTCGATCGAAGAAATTGCGCAGGGTCACGGTGAAGCAGATACCGTTGGACGTGTTGAGCTTAATCAGTGACGATAGTTGCTCCCCTCTTCATATGGCACTGAAGACAGTGGACAAGGGTACATCGCTGGAACGTTTTATCCCATCACTTATGCGACGCAGCTGTACTAGGTGCCATGGGCAAAGTGATATTCTGGTGTCCCTATCGCATTTCATCACTCTCCCAAGAGAAACCTTTTTGCACAATGTTTGAATTTATTGACTTTCAGCGGGAAGCCGGAAATCTCTTCCTTGAAGTTTCGCGATGCTCTGCGGTTAGCAGTTGGAACGAGTACAGGGCAGGTAGACCAAGCTTGTTTTATTCGACTTCTCTACTCATTCTTGTGCAATCTTAATGTGGGGCGATTTTTTGCCGCCGAAAACCCACATCAAATAAAGGTGCTTACTTAGTTGGGGGGAGGGGACCACGCGGCGCGAGCTTGCTCGCCTGGCATCTTTGCGTACTTTCGGGAAATCCGTGAGCCAGGGGGACTGTAGGCAGTCTAGGGGGGTGGGGGTGAGGGCAGTCACTTGACATGCGTGAAAAGCTGGAATGTTCGAGTTTCACACTATCTCGCTCGAGAGAGCGCCAGGCGAGCAAAGCGCCGCGCCGCCGCGTGGCCCCCCCCCAACTAAGTTAGCACCCCAAATAAATACTACAACTTGTCTCGCAAATCGGTACTTAATGCATGTGTTCAGTGTAATGTGTACGATAGTTCGATCGCGGAAGCCGCTGATAGTAAAGGATCACGTGAACGGTTTGCCTATAAAGAAGATCGATTTTGCTGTGAGGTCTGTTGAGATTCCGAGTTAATCACTTATTTTTTCTTCACTTCTTCTGCATTTCATTTTTACTTTTCATTTTCGGCATTTCATTTCTTCCTTCTTCATTTTTTCTCACTACTTGCCTCGTTGCTGCTTTATTGATTCCTCGAATTTAAAAAATGAAACTGTAGCCTGACCATTGCAGGAGGGAGTACTGGGTTCTTTTTTGAATTCATATATGTATCTCTTACTAAGTGCATTGCCATAGTTTATTGTTTAGTTCATGTGTTTAAGAGAAAGCGAAAATTTGGTGCTAAGTATGGATGGTCGGGTTCTCAAAATATGGAACGAAATTGAAGGGAAGCCATTTGCTGCCATCGAGACAGAGTACGCGCTCAACGATTTCTGTCGGTATCCTGACTCAGGTAATGCGTTTTCCAAAACTCGGGGTATTTTGCGAGTTTCACATAGCTGTGTTTTGAAGTTAAAGTGCCAAACCACTTCAATGGTGAGGCGTTAAGATATTCTATCAGTATTTCATTCTAGACTTTTCGAGGTTTTTACACGGTCTTTATTACGCTCAGGTCTGATATTTATGGCTAATGAAGCTCCTCGTATGCAACAATTCTTCATTCCTTCTATTGGCACTGCTCCTAAATGGTGTTCTTATCTTGAAGCGTTGACGGAGGAATTGGAAGAAACTCAGTCGGCCACTGGTGTGTGCTTGAACTACAAAAAAATCTTGAGCCTATTCTTTGCTTCATCAAGAAGCCCTTTTTTCAGTATATGACGATTACAAGTTTGTCACGAAGGAGGAATTAGACCAACTGAGTCTTTCACATTTGATTGGAAGCTCTGTATTGAGAGCCTACATGCATGGTTACTTCCTGGATCGAAGGCTGTACGAGAAAGCACACAACTTATCACGCAACCATTATGCCTATGAGACTATAAGAACCGTAAAGTAGGGTATTGTCTTTTTCATTGCGCGACTCTCAGAACTGTTTGTATTTCTTCTTCCAAATATGCAGCAACCCGCTTTGTTCAAGCGTTCCAGATCAATTATGCATCAAAGATCGCGAAAAAATAGAGTTATTCATAAGCAATAGACGGAAGTCAGTCAGCCTAAAGTGAGTGTGAATTGTCAGGAGTTCTACTTTTCATCACTTCAAGAGGCCAAGCATAGAGGCAAAATTTGTGTTCCTATCGATATTTTTAGGTAAACAAAGAACTCGCGGCGCGATTGAGAGCAGAAGCAGAAGCGGCAGCTGAAAGTATAGGCAATAAGTCAGCAAAGAAGAAGAAGATCGAGAAAAAGAAGGTCGGCATTGTTTGTTCAAGGGGCGAATTAACAACGAGAATCCAGTTTTCAGGCCTCGACAGCGGCAGTTATTCTTCAAGATGACCGCTTCAAAAAATTGTTCGCCGATGAAGATTTCGAGGTAAGTGTTTTATGGTGTGCTGGTAAATTCTGGTCCTTTTTTAGTATATTTGTGACTCTAGTTTTTTTCATTGGTACTCGTTTGGTTTGCTTAGTGCGGTCTTGTCGCCGCACGTTTATTCATCATACCCTTTGTTATTTATTATAACTATGATTTTTGTGAAGAGTTTGGAAGTAATCGAAGTTCAAACTGAAATTAGGGTACGTCTTAACTCGTCTATAGTTAGCCGTCGAAGCGATGAGTACATTAGCAGCGGGGAACCTCGTCGCCCCGTCGGCATAGGGTCATACAGTATGATATGCAATCAGGGGCCGTGAATCAAGATTAAATCGTTAGGAAGAAGCACTGGCGTGAATAAGCGTGCAGACCTTTCTGTATTCCCTGGAGGTAAAGAAAAAAGAAGGAACAGAGTTATTTAGGAAATTGTGCCAAGGTTTATTTTACTGGCTGTTCAGTAGCGCAACCTTTCAAGGTTCTGATTCTTTACCGAGCCGTTATTTCATTTTCCACCCCGCTTCCCTGAGCAGCTCGGCCCGGTTCACCTTTGATTGATCTTCTAAGTTTTGAAAAGACTTCATCTCTTACTTCTATTATCAAGTTTGTCTGGAAGCACTGTAGACGTGTTGAAGGGGCTTGAAGTTTTTAAATGGTGCTATACTCTTCAGGTGGATCAAAATTGTGAGCTGTTCAAGAGAAACGTTGCCATACAACGAAAGGAAAGCTCAGGAAAAGTTAAGGAGATTCTGCATGACGATCAGGATGACAAGGTTATTTTAATTTTCAGATTTCTTTTTCTTTCTTGTTTTC